CACTAACTTTAAATGCCATTAAGTTTCATCAGGAAACTTAGTCCCTGGAGGAAAAAAAAAAACGCATCGTTTTGATATTATTATAAAATAAGTAAAATGGTGCACTATACACAAACTTCCAAAGTTGGATTTGTTTACAGTGATGGTGATAGGAAGTAGGGGTTACAACGTCTGCAACACAAATAGTAATTTATTTACCATCCAGAATGATCAGCATCCAGGACCTGACAGTTAACTACATGACATTCCCTATGCATTTCAGATTGTTTAAATACAATACAATTACCTTTGATGTAATTTTAAGACAAGAAAATGGAACAAAAGTGTCCAATTAATGTAAGCCATCATTGTTACAAGATACAGTGATGTGCCAAAATCAGACAACTCCATTCATTTGTTTAATTACAGCCATTAAGTACAAGTTATAGGTGTAAAATATTCCACTTGTATAAAGAAGGAAAGACTAAGACAAATTAGTGAAATCAGTTGGGATTCCTAACAATCAAGCAAGACCTGGTAGACCACCAAAACTAAGGCATTCATCTTTGAGAGGGAGACAAAAAATCAAGCTCCACTCTTGTTTCAGATCTGAAAAAAATCTGGCATTTCTGTCTATGACTGGAAATCATATAACTTGCACAGTACCTTGTTTTTGGAAAAAATAATTATAATATTGACTTTTCTTAATACCACCCATCACTACCAAGCTGTAACCTTATTATTCAGTAATAATACCATTCACACTTAACAACTTAACAGTTTAATGGTCACTAACGTGTTACTTGTGTATGAAATGGTGCATTGTAGAGGATCAGACATCAACCAGTGTATTTTTAAGGCTGCAGTACTAAGACTAGTACGACTAGTTGTAGTATTTGGACTCAGACTTGTCTCAGTCTTGCCACATTCATTTTCAAGTCTCAACCCAATACCATGTAAAAAATTATTTTCTTTCTTTTAATTCTCAGCAATGCATGCAAACTTGTTCTCAAGCACTACAGGGGTTAAACTGGGCTGGACCGAACTGGAGCCTTAGCACCTTTAGTTTGCCTCAATGCCAAACACAGCTGAGCTGTGGTGTTATAATTCAATGGAAATGCTTTGTATAAAAGTTTTTGGAAATCCATTTAACCATTTGATGTGATGAACAACGGTGAGAGATAACCTTTTAACCGTTACACATTCTCGCCCCTGCCCCATCCTGTTAAATCTGAAGAGGTATTGCAGTCTAGTTGAATGCATGTCAGTAGTTGTCACAACTTGTCAAAAGCTGTCAAACATTTTTTCATATATTAAGTTCCATGTAAATGGGATTTTACTGAATTCGAAACTATGATGTTTAGCCCACTGTTTTGCTAACTCACTGTTGTTAAATGTTCTCAAAGAAGCTAGCAGTGTTTGTAGTTTAGTATTGTTTGCTAATCTGAGTTAAATGTGTGGTAGGAAAACTTGCATACTCATAAAAATCAGTGGATGAATGAGGAATACATAAGAGAAATTCTTGTAAACCATAGTATTTATGGAGGAAAATTACACTGCAGGTACATTATGATATTCTCAAAGAAGCTTTTTTTTTTTTTGGTAAGGCTACAGGAAGATTGATACATTGACAGTACAAACTGGATTCAGTCATCCCTCTGTTTCCAATGGGGACCAGCGGGAGGTCAATCAAGCTACTTTCTAATTGGCTTCTCGTGCAGTAGACAGTGGGAACACACGAGACTGCGCAGGTGCCTTAATGACGCAAATCTATGGGTTTTGCAGAAGCTGCAAATTTTTGTCAGATTCTCTGTGTGTGTTCCATGCTTGTATTTTTATGACTCTGTTTTTCGGCTTTTGCCCATTTTTGGCTTTGATTGTTGTGTTTGTGCTCTGTCCTCCGGTTTTAACCTTTGCCTGGCCCTTGGCTTCTCTCTTTATGTATCTGTTTTTTGACTAGCAAGTAGGCATTTCAGAGTAAAGCCTTGTGAAGCTTTGAGGCTTTTTCCCCTGACTGTGTTGGGAAATGCTTCGAAGCCTCAGAGTATTGAAAACAGCGACATCTGGTGGTGTGCATATATTATAGCAAGCATCAGATCATTATTTAAGATGCTTCTGATGAAGCATCAACATATCATCAATGCAGGCTTGCTGTTCAAACCACAAATCTAAAAAAATGTTTTCAGTTCATTTCATTTACTGTTTACATCTTAAAGAATGAACAATGCAGAAAATGTAGAAAAAAATGTAGATTTCTCCTTTAACCCTCCTATGGTGTTTAGGGTCAAAACTAACCATTTTCAGGTTTCAATGTCTCTAAAATACCATTACAATTTAATTTTTTTGTGAAACTTGATGACTTCTGTAATGGTGATAATATGACCATGTAGCAATGAAGATGACTAATTTGATGTTATGAAGTGGAGATAATGTTTATTACAATTTTTAAGGTTTTACACACACACACACACACACACACACACACACACACACAGAGTTCAGGTGTCCTCAGGTGTCCTCCTTGTGTGCCTGTGCAGTGTTTCTCTTTCACACACAGACACTGAAAAGGAACTGAACCTTTCTCATAGGAAAGCATAAAACAGGCTGTTTTGTATAACGTTTTGTATAAAGTTATGAATTTATTAATAATACATTGTCATCAACACAAATAAAATATCTGTTAAGTACATACATGCTAGGAAGACAACCCAGTAGAATATATAGATCCTACATCCAAAATAACATACATACATACATCATCTAAATCGCTTATCCTTCTGGGTCACGGTGGGGTGCTGGAGCCTATCCCAGCTGTCATTGGGTGGAAGGCAGGATACACCCTGGACAGGTCGCCAGTCCATCGCAGGGCAGACAGACAGACATACACATTCACACCTAGGGGCAATTTAGCATGTCCAGTTAGCTTAACTGCATGTTTTTGGACTGTGGGAGGAAACCGGAGTACCCGGAGGAAACCCACGCAGACACGGGGAGAACATACAAACTCCACACAGAAACGACCCTGGTCGCTCAGCCTAGAATCGAACCCAGGCCATTCTCTGTGAGGCAACAGCGCTACCCACTGCACCACTGTGCTGCCCCTCCAAAATAACAATTTAAACTAAAAAAAATGCTCTAAAATGTGTGTTTTGTAATGCAAATGAATTCCTATCTTAAGGTACATAAGGTAATTATGAACAGTAAAATACAATAAAATAAGTTGATCTCTAAGTTTTTGATGGGAAAGTAGTTGGCAAGTAGAGTCAAATAAGATTGTAGGGTAACGCATGTTCTAGGACTGTTTTGAGTTGATTTGACCCGCACACATCAGCGATGTAACTGATTTGCAGACCTAATAGGAGGGTCATTGGTAGGGCTATAGGTAGATTGACACATTGACAGTACAAACTGGACCCAGTCATCCCTCTGTTTCCAATGGGGACCAGCAGGAGGTCAGTCATGCTACTTTCTGATTGCCTTCTCATGCAGTAGACAGTGGGAACACATGAGACTGCGCAGGTGCCTTAATGACGCAAATCTATGGGTTTTGCAGAAGCTGCAAATTTTTGTGAGCATGTTGAAGAGAACATAAATCACCACAACCACAGTACACTTTCACCACAAAATTAATTTTAGTTACTACTTCCTCCACCATTAGTTGTTGTGTAAAACCAGTGTAGAACTGGAGATGAGAACAAGAGCAAGATCAAGATTAACCTCTACCAAAGTTATGCATGGTGGAAGTAGTGTCATGGCTTGGACTTTCAGGGCTGCTTCTGGAACAGGTTCACTAACCTTTAATGATGATGTTACTCATGATGGGAGCAGCAGAATGAACTCAGAGGTCTACAGAAGCATTCTGCCTGCCACAGAGAAATCTATCCATGCATTTAATCAGTAGGAACTTCACTATGTAGCAAGAAAATGGCACAAAACACACTGCCAACACAACTTCATCAGGCAGAAAAAAGTAGGTTTTAGATCGAATCATCAGAACTTATCTCAGTTAAGTATGCATTTAACCTCCTGAAGAAAAGACTGAAAGGGAGAAATCCCCCAATACAAACAACTGAAAGAAGCTGTGGTAAAAACCTGGAAAATCATTATAAAAGAAGAATGCAACAGTATGGTGATGTCAGTGGCTCGCCAGCTTGATGCAGTTATTGCAAGCACGGGACATGTAAAATTTAATTTACTTTAAGACTTTATGTTCCTATACACTTTTTCTTCTAAATAATAATATTGGGACGTTTCACATCAAGATGTAAAAATCAGAAAATAAAAGCTGAAATTCTGGTCTATCATCTCATATTAATCTTTTGTTTTCAAACCCAAATGTCTTCAATGTATAGTAAAAACAAAAGAAGTGGTCATGCTGTATGTTTACAACTGGGCAAACAGGATGCACCTGATCAGTCATGACTTTTTTATTTGCATTTGCAGTATTTACTCAGCAAATACATTTTCTTCATAATTTATTTATTTATTTTTTTACCTACATCAGGTGTTCCAACTTTGATGTGAAGTTTGGCGCCTCTATTCATTATTTGCTGTAACTTTTATTTGAAAAGCCAAAATGTGCATTAATATAGCTCATGTTGATAGAAATCTAGCTGTAACCCTTGGGAACAGCTTTAGTTGGAAGGACATGTGTATCTCATTAGTTTTAAGATTGGAAGGGCAGTACACACCGATCAGGCATAACATTATGACCACCTCCTTGTTTCTACGCTCATTGTCCATTTTATCAGCTCCACTTACTATATAGGTGCACTTTGTAGTTCTACAATTACAGACTGTAGTCCATCTGTTTCTCTACATACTTTGTTAGCCCTCTTTGACCCTGTTCTTCAGTGGTCAGGACCCCCATGGTCCCTCACAGAGCAGGTACTATTTGGGTGGTGGATCATTCTCAGCACTGCAGTAACACTGACGTGGTGGTGGTGTGTTAGTGCGTGTTACCGGAGTTTTTAAACATCTCAGTGTCACTGCTGGACTAACGAAACCAGAAACAAGCTATCCAGATTTCATAGCTTTATTCTAGAGTTTCAATCATTTAAAACTCATTTGTACAGCCCTGAACACAACCCTCTTTGTGCATATTATCATATCTTGTTTGAAGATCATTCAAGGTCACAGGTGTTGAAGAAATACACCAGCTTTTTTTTCAACCTGACCTCTTTCTGCTTCACCTGGAGTGTATGGTTGACTACCACAGATGATAATTATGTTGCTTTTCCATTAACAGAACAGAAAATTTGGTGATTCAAAGCACACTTATAACAGAAGTCAATGGGCAGTTGCTGAATTCTGTCAGTAAGCATTTACGAAAAGTGTATGAAAGTGTTCCATAAAAAAGCCTTAAATGTTTATAATTTGCTCTTTCAGAGACAGGACTAATGTAGTGAACTTGTGGTAATTTGTTACCAGCAGTAATGTGGTTGGAGTTTTCACTGTCTGATCATGGATTCCTCAAAGCTTTAGGAAAAGCAAATGTAACCAGAACTGCTTTCTTACTGTATTGCTCTTCTGTTTAAAAGTTGAATGAAACTTTGGGAAGATTTTCTCTCATCCTGTAGTATATTCTCAGATCTGTACCCTTAAAGAAATGTTTTAGTGAAAACATTCACTATTTTTTTTTCCTCCCCAAGACATGTCTGACAAGTCTGATTCTTAAGTTCAGAACTAGAGTTATGAGGCTAATACTGCTAACAAGCACTAGCAATAGTCAACAGTCAAAACCTGCTAGCTTCGTAGCTCTAGTTTAAACTAAAGAAGCAAAATTTGGACACTAAAGATGCTAAACGACCACATCTGGGTTACATGGAAAATTGTGTACATCTGATTTTTTTGCTGAACCATTCCTTTAAGAGTGCAATGGTCATTCTCATTATTACACATTATATAGTATATATACCAAATGTCCATCCAAAGAATTCAGCAACTGTCAACAATGGGCCTCAGTGCTTTGCTAGGTACAGGAAAACCAATCGAAATTATCATCTATATTAATCAGTGGTATGATGCAGATACAGCAGAGAGAGATTATGTTAGAATGCTGGAATGTTCCTTCGAACTAGCCATTAAAGTCCAATGTAAACTATAGTTCTCAATCAGAAGTAGAATTAGTCTGCAGCTGGAAAAATCTTTATTCTTTAGTAATGCACATCTAGAGAATATTCCTGGTATTGTTTGAGGCTTTGATGATGTCAGTTTGTTCTGAGCCTGTATTTATGACAATGTTCTAGCACGTGTTAGTCCATGTTTTCTGTAACTGTACACTGTGTAAACAGGACACTGCACTTGGGCAGCAGAGTGGCCAGTGAGCGTCTGAGATTAGGCACTGGGTCGTTTTCGCTGCTCTCCTCCCTCTCTCTTTCGCTCTCTTCTCTCTCTCCTCCTCCCTCTGTTTCTCCTCGTCTGCTCTCAATCACAAACTCCACCTGCCAAAACTCCAGCCTGTGTAGCTCCTTCAGCATCCGGCAGCTTCGCAGGACCATCATCTCGGTCAGCCTGCAGCTGCGCAGACGCAGCCAGCGTAAGTCCGGCAGGCGGCTCAAGCACAGCAGGCCAGGGCTCACCTCCCGGCCCCCCAGCCCCAGACCCTCCAGCCCCACCCAGCCTTCTCCCAGCCCCAGCGCTGCCATCTGCTGGCGGCTCCCTGTATTCATCTCCAGATGCTTGAGGTGGGATAGTGCCTGCACACCTGGGGGAGCACAAGACCTCAGTCCGGATGCCGTCACCCGGATCATGTCCCGAAGCTCAAGCCGGCTCAGCCGCCCCCACGAGCTCAGACTCTGCAGGTGCTGGTTGGTGAACGATGGCACATTGTCTAAAATCAGTGTTTCTATGGTGATGCCTGAGGAGGATAAGGACACTGGACATTTGTTTTGGACATTGGAAGCAGCCACCACAGGATGGTCTGGCTCAGATGTCACAGGGGGATTCTGAGTAAAGAAACCAGTAGGGACCTCACAGCCATGCAGCTCCAAGATCTGTAAATATGAAGCGCAAAAATGCCTAGATTATTTTATAAGACAGACACTTCTGGTATACGTAACTGCTTGCATCCACTGAATTTTATATCAGTGCAGCAGGTTATATTGATCTTAGGCAATCTTAAGTGATCTTAGTTTTAAAATCAATAAAATTATTTAATGAATGTTGCTATATTTATCATATTATATTGTCATTTTATAAAAATAAGCTGACTGAGCCCTTGCATTACATTACATTACATCATTTTACCATAAATACGGTGTGCTGTTAGGCACAAAACATGACACCTTTAGTAATTGATTATAATAGTATTCAAAAATGTGTGCTGATAATTGGCCAAAATAAATATATAAGAACATTTTAAAATATAAAAATTCCCCAAAGCCACTGTGTAAACAACACTGGTGAGCCATGACTATTGGAGTTTCAGTTCAGGCTATAAATGCCAAAGCATCTTTACGACAATTCTTATTTCTAGCAGTATGTTAGTGCTCAGCTAACAGCTATTCTCGAACAATTTTTGGCTATTCTGGATTTAACATGCACACTTATAAGAAATTAGTCCAACCTCCTGTAAACAAACACGACTGATTGACTTCTTTGTCATTTCCTAATTATTTTAATTTAAGTTAATCTGACACATCAGGCCTTCAGATCACTCCTGAAGTTCTATCCAATAAGAGAGCTTGCTCAGTTGTATCTACCTACATATCACAGAGATGTTGTTGTTGGGCATTTAGAGAATTTAACCCTTTGTTTCCACCCAAAACTTGACAATGAAAGAAGAGTGTTACAAATAAAATACAAGCATGATGATTATGTTAAATGAAAAATTAACTAAAAATTACAGACAGTATATATGTATATCTCAAATTTTACCATATTTTGTACAGTTTGGTGCAATTTTTAATATATATATATATATATATATATATAAAAAATTGCACCAAACTGTACAAAACATGGTAAAATTTGAGACTTAAAGATGCATTGAGTTGTTTTCTAGAAACCACAACCAAATCATTCTGTGGTCAGAATATTCCAGCCGTACTTGTAAGGTTGGAGGGAGGAGAGAGCAGCTGGGCAGGGCACGCAGGTCAGTGTGCAGTAGACTGAGCCTACAGAGGCGAGGACATTTGGAAGCTAGAGTCTGCAGCCAGGGCTCAGAGAGGAAAGCACCGCCACGCGCAGACAGCAGCAAACCGCGCAGACGCAGATAACGCAGACCTCGACCCAGATACTGCCGTAATAACACCCATAGCACACGAGAAGTCACCTAATAGAAAAAAGAGAAAGAAGCCTCAACAGAGATCATCAGCACTGAGTGATAGTTTAGCATAAAAATTAAGTTCGTATAATTTTCCCCCAACCCCAAATATAGTGTTATCTAAGAAAATTTGAAGTTTGCATCTTTAGATTTGCACTAGAGCTATAAAGTTAATAAGCACTATATGGTCAATTATGAACTAATTATTGAGTTCTGGTGTTTCAGCTATACCCATTTCTAACAAGTGTATAAAATTAAGCATATAGCCGTGCAATCTCTATACACAAACACCGGCACAATGGGATGTACTGAAGAGCTCAGTGACTTTAAATGTGCATTTTTGGCTAAATGTGCTCAGTGACAAGAACTGTGCATCTTTAGCTTAATGAAATAGGTTTCCATGGCTGAGCAGCTGCACACTAAGATCACTAAATGCAACACCATGCGTTGGCTGGATGAGTGTAAAGCACACTGCCAGTGGAGCATCTGGAGTGATGAATCACGTTTCACTACAAGGCAAAGGATGGATGTATCTAGGTTTTGTGGATGTCAGGAGAACAATGCCTACTGGAGTGCATAGTGCCAACATTAATATGGTGGAGGAGGGATAATGATCTTGGGCTGTTTTACAGGTTTTGGGCTCAGCCCTTTAGTTCCAGTGAAAGGTAAAGTTAAAGCTACAGCACAGAAAGATATTTTAGACAATTATATGCTTCTATTTATGTGGCCACAGTTTGTTTAAGGCTCTTTCCTTTTCCAGCATGACTGTGCCTCTTTGCACAAAGCAAGGTCCCTAAAGACTTGGTTTGACAAGTTTGGTGTGGACGAAATCCAGTGACCTGCACAGAACCCTGACCTCAACCTTACTGAATAGCTTTGGGATAATTTGGAACATCAACTGCAAGCAAGGCCTTCTTGTCCAGCATCAGTGCTTGACCTCACAAATGCTCTTTTGTCTGAATAGGCACAAATTCCCTCAGACACAGTGTAAAATCTTGTGTAAAGTCTTCCAGGAAGTGTGAAGGCTATTATATATAGATCTAATGGTCAGGTGCTCAGATGTCCACAAACTTTTGTCTATATTGTGTCGCTAACAAGTAACAGAAAGTTTTAGAAATACAGTGACCTGCACATAGCACTAAGCAAATGTCATGTTAAAATTACTATATACTTGTCTCATGACTAAGGCTTTGGGCTCTGACTTTTGCACAGGATTGTGTATAGTGGAACTGAAAGGAAAAAAAAATATGGTAAGGGCCCCTTAAATGCTAGTCATTTTTTTTTCTTTTCATTTCTGTGAACAGGGTTGGGTTGTAATGGTATACAAGTATTGGGAACATGTATTCAGAATAGAGGAATTAAGTATCTGTATTCACTCCAAAGGCAGTATTCAGAATACAGTTGCTTAATTAATGTTTATTAACTATTTCAGAATCAGGGCACAGCATTCTAAAGCGGACTTAAATCTAAGAAGACTTCTCCAATCTTAGAGCAATTCTTTACAAAGACTTCTACAAGTTCTTGCTAAAGCCTGAGTAGACCGATAAATCAATGTGATGAGCCAGTTATTAATCTCACTGTTACTGAGCTCATTTAAGGGATGATCAAACTAATAATCTCCTCAGTAGTCGACATGTTTGGTTGTGAATTTTTGGCTTAAATGATAAAAGAATATTTCATGAAATGTATTAACGGAATAATTACATGAAGAAAACTGCCAACAAGCAACAGCGAGAAACAGTGAGAATTAAGTTTAAATAGATGTGTCTTACCAAAATGTGTTTTAAATGTATTCAGGATATGTTACTCATTATATATTGTAATGAAATATGTTACTGAATACATTTAGGACAGAGTATTCAGTAATCACTGCTTTTTCGAAGTATTTTGCCCAACGCTGTCTGTGAATCAATAACACCAATTGACTTCCAGATCCAGGGCTGGCCTCAACAATTAAGAAGGATGACAGCATCAAAAGCTACCCATAAATACACTTTTCGTACAAATTAAAACATCAAATTAATGAAAACAGCAAACAGCACAGAAGATGACTGTGCAGCAAACAGCTGCTCTTACCCCTTTCCATGTTGAAAGGTCTACAACACGCCACAGTCTCTGGTCTTTCACTAACCGCTTCCAGCGCTTGCACACTCTGCATATGAAAATAGTAATGAATGAAAGTTATTCTCAGTCATCAGCAAAGTCGAAATTCTGTCCACTCTCTATCTGTTTACTCATATTTTTGCAACATTTAAGGTAGAACGGGAAAATTCAAATAAGAAGCTAAATCCAGCTTCGCCTACGAGTTTCGTTTCCGGAGCTACTACTGTTTTTATTTTATACAGTTGACCTGAAATTGCTCTGTAACCCACAAAGCAGGTTTCACACAGAAACAACTTACCGTAATACATTTTATAAAACACCAGAAAACAGAAAAACAACAGAGATGTAACGTTATATTCATGTAAACATGAGACAATAGTGTGAATCAGTCTATTTGACCTCTTCAAAAAAAACAGCTTTAGTAGGTTTAAACGAGTGTAAGTCTCCTTGGGTTTGTTTTCTTTCTTTCTTAAGGTGTACCTTCCATTGCGAACAAGTTCTCGGACATTTAAATAGGATAAAATCTCTATTAAAATGTTTTCGGGGAAACAGTCCAGAGTTTTCACATCTGCCATCTCTGTAAACAAACGGCTGCTCTACGGGGTGTTGCATCCGATTCAGTTGCTCTTCAAATTCACGTTCCCCCGTCAAAGTCGCATGCGCGCGCATCCACACAGCTAAAACAACGGAAAGCGGAAAGAGCCAAAAGACTTATGCCTAAAATTAATACTTAAATCGGCGTCAGCGCGCAGTTTTACAGCCTTCTTGAGCCGTTTCGCTTTCCGTATTGGCGGTGTTGTTTGGTCAGAGAATTTGTAGTGAAACCGGTTCTGGTTTGGCGTTAAATTTGGCTGCGTTCGAGACCCCATACATATACTACACTAGTGAATGGACTTCTATTGGTGGTATACTATTTTGACACACTGTTTATTGTGTTAGTGTGCGGTTTTGGACGCAGCCAGTGAATGCGCGCTCCTGAAAACTTGACCCGTGAAGGGGCGCGAGAATTTGAAGGGGAACTGATTTGGATGCAACACCGGAAAAACAGTGCAGGATCCAACTATACGAATTATGCGCCCAGTTATCGCTTTAAAATCAGAACATAGCCGATCATTTTTGTCAAAAAAAAAAAGATAAGAAAGAAAACAGGAAAATGTGTTAAATCGAAGGAAATGCGTTTATTCCACAACTTTACGCTGATTTAAAAAGGACTTTTAGCGTAGCCTTCTCTTCTTTTTCTTCTGTGAAATCGATGGCAGGTTACACACAATCGTTTTAGCGCCCCCTGTTAGACAGGAAAGGAACACTACCAAAATTCCACACTTCGCTGAAAATACAATCTGCGCTAGTTTATACCATCTACACCTGCATAGTGCAGCACATCTATATACGCATCTCAAGTAAAGTTTTCCTGTAATAAAGACTATTCGGCAAAATATCTCTTTTTGTTTCATTTATAGTGAATTTGATTTATATTTAGAAAATAATGAATTTGGGTTTACTAATTATGATAAAACTAAACGTGTAAGATTAATAATCTGTTTTGTTATTTTAAAAGGTGTAGAGAGCGACATAAAAAAACAAATCTACCTCAATATCCAATAAGAACTTATGCTCCAACTCTGTCGTTATTTTATTTTATTTTATCATTTTATGGTTTTTAATTTTATACTCTCCCCTTTTTCAGATTTTCTCTTTGTTTTTGGGTTAATTATTTTGCAACTTTGTACAGTTGTGTAAGTAATATCTTTAATAATGTTGCCTTTGCGCAATTAATTGTCAGCTGTATTCCGAAAATAGTGGAAGTGGAAGGACTGGAACTGGGTCATTGTCTATTGATGTGAGTTTTTATTTCGGTTTTATTTTTACTTTTTTCATCGTTGGAGTTTCATTCACACGCAGCGCCGATCTACAAACGGAACGCCACCCGGACATGATTTGTAGATCTGTTATTTCTGAATTCTCTGCGCCCCTCGGCTGCCCCCTGTCGGCCATTAGCAGTCCTGTCTCATTCTGTTGTGTGGAGGGCGAACGACGTTCCCGGAGATTTTGCACTTTTCAGACTCTTAATGTGATAAAAACCATGGCTGGTATTAAAGGTGAGAAATTAATCATTTTATTGCTCACATTAATGAATTTTGTAGCTGTGTAAAATAACGTCGTAGTGGATTTATAGAGCTACGGCTGTCGCTTGTTCGCTAACGTCACGTTGCTAGGTAGCTTTAGCACTGCAGGCCGTCCGAATGGCTGGTGGTTCATTGGTGTCTTGTGGAGAGAAAAACACCTTAAATTAACGCATAATATTCGTTTAAGATGTTTCATTCCGTGTATTTTACCTCATTGATAGGATAGGCGTTATTTAATCCTGCATATCAGGGTCAAGGCGTATATCACGGTGATGTTTTAGACTGTGTTTAATGTTAATGCAGTAACGTTACTGCCTTGCTGCTATGATGTATTGGGCTCTTAGCTACGAGACTTTATGTATCTGTTCTGTTCACGTTACATAGCTATCTAGCTATCTATCTAGCTCACAGCCAACTTACATGATAAAGCAGATGATTTAGTTGGATAAAAGCTGTTTAAACTAGTTAACCTAGCTAGCTAGCTGGATGGATGGATAGCTGGCTGGGGCAGACAACAGATGCATGACCAGATCCTTGCAATAAAAAGGTTTAGCTGGCCACATGCTTGCTTTGCACTGGTATACAGTACTGACATTTTTCTGTTATTGGGTTTACAACTGTTTCTTAGAAATGTGCCACCTCCCTCTGTGGTCCCTGTGGGGCCAAGTCATATGACTGGTCATATGAGAGCTTTCTCAGCAAGCTAAAAGCACTGAATTTCAGATCCATTTGAAACTTGCCAAGTAAGAGTTGTTCATAGCGGTGGTGATAGGAACCAGATATCTGAAGAGTTTAATGCCTATGAAAACTCCCTCACAGAAAGTTATTATATAAAATGTTGTGAATATACGCTGCCTGGTACATTGTTATATGATAATTTTGTGATAAAGTTTAAGCTTAAAATGTATTTTAATCCATTAATGAAGGAGGGGTACATGTAGGCACATGCATTTAGATTTACCACTATTTAACCATCAACATGACTTATAAAACTCAGTGGTGGTTTTGGATAGTAAATGGCTATATTTGTGTTGTACACATGGTGACCCCTGGTTTCTGTCACCACAGCTGTAAAGAAAAGAGTTTCTCTACAATGAACCATTTAACATCAAACCACTTGGAATGACTCTGCTTACATCTCAAGCACTGAATTATTTAGAAATTTTGAAAAAATGGTGGAATTCACCTTTAAATATATTAGAGCTGAGAAAACAGTAAATTGTACAGTACAGGGTCCCGAGCCCCTCTAGACTGGAATCGGTGAGCTGATACAGTGTGTACAGTCAGACCTGTCATTTCATCGAGTTGTTCTGTACTAAACCTTTACATCAGGAATGGCCATAAGCATCTGAAAGTAACATCTGTAATGTGCTGAATTTCAGTAAATAGTGGGTTGTGGCATATTACTTGAAAATAGTAACATTGTGATAGGGCTAAAAATTAAACGTCTTAAGTGCAACCTAAGATTATTTTCATTGGATGTAATTATAAGTGTTGTTCAGCCATTGTGATGACAAATCCAGGCTTTTCTGTGTCATTGAGCTTCAATACTGGCCAGTTATCAAGAGCATCAAGAAGAATGTCAGTCAAAAAAAACACACTGTAATGTTCCCACCCACTCTTGTTTCTTCACCAAATGCCAGGTTAGCTAAAAAAACAAGACTGCACAAGCTCTGCTGTAGCATCAACAAATGATGTCAGCGGAAAACGAGTCTTTTTCTATGTGTTTTCTATGTGTTTTCTATATGTTAAACTTACAGAAAAAAAAGAAATCTAATGTGAATCTTAGCAAAACTGCATCTGATGAATCATTTAACATCATACAAGTTTTAACTGTAATGTTGGTAAAAATAAGTGGTAGATAAACATTCTGGGTGTCAAAATGTTCATGTTTCTGCCACAGTGACCAATAAAGAAGAAGAAAAAAATTCCCATTAGTACCCTGCTGATTTCAGTTCTAGCCCCAACATGGCTAGAACTATATTGAGACCGGGAACTGTTCCTGAAGACCTTGATTAGTCGGATTAGGTGCGTTAGATTAAGGCTGGAAGTAGGTTCTGCACGGAATAGACCTTGAGGTGCAGGACTTCTGCAGTGCACTATGCTTTCTGTATATGTCAATGTATTCAGATGACATTTGAGTGGGGTGGCAGTATTTATCATTCTTGTGATGTGACATTTATGTCACAATATGCTTTTCTTAAAAAACAACACTGAGCAACTACATGTTTCATTATGAAGAGTGCATAATTAGGCCTGGTTAATTGGATGTAGTGCAGCGCAGAATGTAAAGCATTGACTGAAAATCTTTGCATTCATAGTTTTTGATAGTGTTTCGTAAATGTGGCACTACTGGTTCTTTTTTGTTAGCTTCAACTTATCAAACATCAGAAATGCAATATATTGTAATGAATATTATGCATTGAGAACATGCCTTGAAGTTGCGTGATATTTTAGATATTGCCATATCGCACATCCCTATGTTTGAGTTAGCATTAATAAAACAATAAGCTCATGTTTCCCAAATTCCACTGCTACTGTATGCTGACAACCTTGTAAGACATTCTTTTCTTCTCTGAGAATTCATTTAATCTTTATTCTTTCTTTATAGGCAAATTATCTTCCAGCCCTAAGCTGGTCGAAGCATCATTACAGTTTTTGGAAACTAAAAACACTACGCTGCAGCTGACTTCATTGTTCCGGTTAGTTGATTCTTGAGTCACTCAGTAGGCTGACTTATTGTTTTCTCTTATTCCAGCACTGATCAGTCTTTCCTTTGGTGGAGCCATCGGCCTCATGTTTCTGATGCTTGGTTGTGCCCTGCCTGTCTATAAGTGAGTAGTATATAAGGATATGTTCACACTGTCATGTGAGTGTCATTTTAAATAGGTCAAAAATGTGAAATCGGATTTTCCTCGTTTGTATTCCTCCTTAGAAAAAAAAAGTTTGATGTGCTAAAGAAATACTGTTATAGTTTCAAAACATACCATTCACTCTTCAATCCACAGAGTGATTCATCATGGCTGTGATGGCGAAACCATGAATGCATTTACGTATGACCTCCCGTTCTACTCACACAGCAGTTTAGCTCCGCCCATTCATGTTGAAGTGTTGTTACCACAGACAATCTGAAGAGTTTTTTAAAATGAAGGATTACAGCGTAATGGGAAGAGGAGTGGCTGTTTAAGTTTATTTTTTTGGGTGTCCCTTAGGATTTTTGTCTGAATTCTGTCCATAGAACCACACACATGTTATTAATGGACTATTAATGAGGAAACAAAGAAAATTATAGAATATGGACCAAAACAAACTGTTAAAAGTATAAAAAAAAAGGATGTGTGCACTAAATATCCAAAAGTATTCAGACAACCTGTCTGAATACTGATTTCAGCTGCTTTACAGTGCACCCATTGCTGATACAGGCGTTCCATTGTGCACACACAGCTTGTATAACCTCTGTAGGAGAGCATGGCCCAAGGCCTGAGGTCCGTGTCCAGTGCCAAGTGTTAGCCTGCAGGGTAGAAAGCCCCTCAGCATTTGGCTGTTGAGCAGTGCAACTGGGCTTTCTGGAGAGATGGAGCTCTATCCAGTGATGAGTTGGGGTGGTGTTTGTGATCCAGAACTAATCATCCAACATCAGTACCCAAGCTCATTAATTTGCTCATGACTAAATACACTTACAGCAATGTTCCAACATCTATTGTAAATCCTTCCCAGAAGAGCACAGGCTGCAGCAAAGAGGGACAAACTCCGTATTAATACACCATATTTCAGAAGAAACATTGGATAAGCAGATGTCTGCAGACTTTGAGAAACATAGTATATTTAAGTGTGTGTCTGGAAGTAATCATTACAGTTACTCAGTATCCTCTTAAAATAATAAATTGTGCGTATGATAGAGGGATTTCACTGGAGTATCTGCCACCTGAAGTGAGCGCGTAAAGTATTGTACTAACAGAAGATTTAAGAACTGTGGATTTTTTTCTGCTTTTTTTTTCCTGTTATAGTGTTTAGAAGGCCATAGAGCTACTGGTGCTCATTGTTTTGTATGTCTGTGTCTCTCCCTAGTGAATACTGGCCTCTCTTTCTGCTCTTCTTCTACATTCTGTCCCCTATCCCTTACTGCATCTCGCGGCGGGTGGTGGACGACACTGACTCGGCTAGTAACGCCTGCAAAGAGCTAGCCATATTTCTCACTACTGGGATCGTCGTGTCAGCCTTTGGGCTGCCCATCATATTTGCACGTGCTAGTGTGGTAGGTGCTATTTTCTGTTGAGAAAGCATGCTTTATAAACTATGTTTGACTTTTAATCAGGTTCACAGGGATGCTCCAGCATTTTTTCAACCTGTATCCATCTGTTACATCTGTATTGTGGCAGTGATTACCATGGATAATTATTTAGTCTGTTTTCTCTACAGTTTAAAGAACAGAAAACTTCATATGAAATGCACACTAACAGTCATTTTGGAAGTGAATGTTTTTTGATAAATATGTATTTTCATTATCTCTTCATTTATGATAACACAGCTTTAACACATTTATAAACACAGTTTCATGAATTCTTTATTCAAAGCTATTTGGAAAAGGCTGTAAATGTTTAATTGATTACTTGTAGTAATTTTTTGCCAACATAGTGGTACCTTATCGCTATAAGTACTGGAAAATCTTAGGGGATCTATCTACGGTTATCTATGACCGATAACACAAAGCAATTTCTGACGTGCATACACATAGATGGAACTTTACAACACAGTTGGTTGACAAGCAGCAGCAAAAATGCTCATGGCAAAGTATGTGTCGGCAGTATTATGTGAGCAGGCAATAGTAGTGGATTGGAAATCTTCCTAAGGTATTAGTTTCACAGATGTTACAAATAAACCAGATCATGCACACTAACGGGAGCCCCTTATCTGAATGTCTGAGCCACTTCTTTCAGTAATCACTCATCTCCTGCTGTGTAATCAGTTACAGTCTGAGTTAATGTAAGTCCAAGTTGTTATTTAGCGAGTGAACATTAGAGAGATATTTGGAAGGAATCGCTAGTCTCTTGGGGCTAGCCTTTAGCCTTGGTTAAGTCTTCAGCATCTTAGCCCGCTCGCTGACCTGGTCTGTGTCCACTAGCTCCATCTGAGGTGCGCTTTTGTCACTCAGCTTCATCACACAGCAGCGTGGTCTCCCTTTTGCTTCAGCCAAGCTGTGAAATCTGTGCTCAACCTTTGCTACTGACAGCATGAATGAGTGAAATATTTGCTAAACTCTAGTAGTGTTGGACACTCAGAAATGTATGCGGGTGTGAATGGGACACACAAAAAAGACACATGACTTGAGAAATGTGGATGTGAAACAACATATACCTGTGGTCTGTGCTTACATGTACAGACCACAGGCTTATTTATATATTGTTCAGTTCAAGTCCATCATGTACATGCCATTCGTTCAAGCTTGGTATGTTTTATCAGTGACACAGAACACAACTTTAATCAAAATAAAAAAATGGAATTGTATAAATATTAAGACTTATACGTTAGATAGATTTAGTACCATTATCAGTACTTAATATTGGCTGGTACTCAGGGATCAGGTATTATATCAAAAGGGGAGAAAATCATATCAGTGCATCCCTAAATAGTACTGTATGTATAATAATAAAAAAAGAGTGGTCTGACCTTTTGCGTGCCTCAATTTCAACCTGACATCTTTGTTTGATTATTTTAGATCCATTTAGAGTTTTTTTTTTTTTTGCTCCAGTAAGTGTCAGTGTTTATGATTGACAGAAGAAGCCACAACCGCTTGTCAAAAATGAAAATAAGACCTAGACTTCAATTATGTCTTGTACTCAAATATGGCTGGTTAAATTCACCAAAATCAACCCCCACAGGACCACCACAGAGCAGTTATTGTTCAGGTGGTGGATCATTCTCAGTGCTACAGTGACACTGATGTGGTGGTGCACTGTTAGTGTGTGTTATGCTGGTATGAGTGGATCAGACACAGCCGTGCTTTATACCAGCACAAAGCACACTAACACTCCACCACCATGTCAGTGTCACTGTAGCGCTGAGAATAATGCTCCACCCAAATGATACGTGCTCTTGTTGGGGTCTTGACCATTGAAGAACAGAGTAAAAGGGGGTTAAATATAAAATGCAGAGAAAAAGATGGACTGCAGTGTATAATTGTAGAGCTACAAAGTGTGTCTGTATGGTAAGGCTAGCTGATAAAATTGACAAAGAGTGTGGATACAGGAAAGTGTACATAATGAAGTGACCAGTCAGTGTATATATAATTGCTGCCTTATCAAAACTTTGTATTCCCAATTTTATCAGTTGTTAATTTTTTTTATAGCATTTGAAAATGTCAGCAGCTCTTTTGTGGTGAATAGACCAACAGAAATGATCATCATTCAAAATCTCTCTTATTACATAAAGTACAGTGGGGTGCGAAAGTTTGGGCAGCCTTGTTAATTTTCCTGATTTACCTTTATAAATCATTGATTGTTTGGATAAAAAAACTCCGTGAAATATATCATATAGGGGACAAACACAGTGATATTTGAGAAGTGAAATGAAGTTTATATGATTTACAGAAAGTGTGCAATAATTGGTTAAACAAAAGTAGGCAGGTGCATAAATTTGGGCAGTGTTGTCATTTTATTGATTTCAAAACCTTTAGAACTAATTATTGGAACTCAAATTTGGTTTGGTAAGTTCAGTGACCCTTGACCTCCATACACAGGTGACTCCAATTATGAGAAAGGGTATTTAAGGGGGGCAATTGTAAGTTTTTCTCCTCTTTGCATCTTCTCTGAAGAGTCGCAGCATGGGAGTCTCAAAACAACTTTCAAATGACCTGAAAACAAAGATTGTTCACCGTCATGGTTTAGGGGAAGGATACAGAAAGCTATCTCAGAGATTTCAGCTTTCAGTCTCCACTGTGAGAAACATTGTGAGAAAATGGAATACCACAGGCACAGTTCAAGTCAAGGCTCGAAGTGGCAGACCAAGAAAAATCTCGAATAAACAGAAGCGAAGGATATTGAGAACAGTCAGAGTCAACCCACAGACCAGCACCAAAGACCTACAACATGATCTTGCTGCTGATGGAGTCACTGTGCATCGTTCAACTATTCGGCGCACTTTACACAAGGAGATGCTGTATGGGAGAGTGATGCAGAGGAAGCCTTTTCTCCGCCCACATCACAAACAGAGCTGCCTGAGGTATGCTAAAGCACATTTGGACAAGCCAGCTTCATTTTGGAATAAGGTGCTGTGGACTGATGAAACTAAAATAGAGTTATTTGGGCATAATAAGGGTCGTTATGCATGGAGGAAAAAGAACACAGCACTCCGAGAAAAACACCTGCTACCTACAGTAAAATTTGGTGGTGGTTCCATCATGCTGTGGGGCTGTGTGGCCAGTACAGGGACTGGGAATCTTGTTAAAGTTGAGGGACGCATGGATTCCAATCAATATCAGCAGATTCTGGAGATCAATGTCCAGGAATCAGTGACAAAGCTGAAGCTGCGCCGGGGCTGGATCTTCCAACAAGACAACGACCCTAAACACTGCTCAAAATCTACTAAGGTATTCATGCAGAGGAACAAGTACAACGTTCTGGAATGGCCATCTCAGTCCCCAGACCTGAATATTATTGAAAATCTGTGGTGTCACTTAAAGAGAGCTCTCCATGCCTGGAAACCATCAAACCTGAATGAACTAGAGATGTTTTGTAAAGAAGAATGGTCTAAAATACCTTCAGCCACAATCCAGACTCTCATTAGAAGCTATAGGAAGCGTTTAGAGGCTGTTATTTCTGCGAAAGGAGGATCTACTAAATATTGAGTTAAGGTTTTTTTTTTGGTGCCCAAATTTATGCACCTGCCTAATTTTGTTTAGACAATTATTGCACACTTTCTGTAATTCATATAAACTTCGTTTCACTTCTCAAGTATCACTGTGTTTGTCCCCTATATGATATATTTAACGGAATTTTTTTATCGAAACAATCAATGATTTATAAAGGTAAATCAGGAAAATTAACAAGGCTGCCCAAACTTTCGCACCCCACTGTATATTGAAGTTAAGAGCATTATTTTGTTCTTTTATAAAGTTTGAGGTTTTCGTACGTCAGTGATTACATATACTGGATGGGAACTTTCTGAATAATTCCATCTCCTTTAGTCTAGCAGGTGCCTATTTAAAAAGAAAAAGAACATAGTGTTCCATTGCTTTTTCCCCTACTTGTCTTGCCCCCACATAGTCACAGATGGATTGAGAGTTTAGTGCCATTTGTTGACTGAATAATTCACATTTGTGTGTCCAGATCGCCTGGGGAGCATGTGCTCTTGTTCTGACGGGCAACATAGTCATCTTCGGCACCATTCTGGGCTTCTTCCTTGTCTTCGGATCAAACGATGACTTCAGCTGGCAGCAGTGGTAAATGGGAGACTGGGAGCGACGTCTGAACTGTTTTTATTATACACATTCTTATTATGACTATTGTTGTTGTTATTATTGTTGTCCTTATTATTTATAGCCACCACCCATCTGTTTTGACAGGAAGTCAGTGCAATAATTTGTTGCTGGGATCAGTCCGACCTCAGAAAGTTTGTTTTCTTTCTTCCTTTTTTTCTTTTCTGTTCTTTGGTTTGTGCATAAGCTTCCCTTGTAGGCTTTTCCAGTGTTTAAGCAAAGGTACTATCAATGCTTCACTTCATAGCAGGATCTGCTGAACGTGCAATGGCTTTAGTTAAGATGGACTGAATGTTCCCGCATGGAAGTCCCACGTTCTTTAGTCAAGCTTTTGCGACCTGAAACATTACTCTGAGCTTAAAGAGTGAACGTAGCTCATTAAATTCCTAAGCCTTTACTGGGTTAGTTAAAGGGAAAAATCAAATCTGCATAGTTTTCCCCCCTACCTCAAGTGTAGTTGATCAGCCAAGACACGTGTCAAATTTTCTTGGCACTACAAGGCTAATAATGAAAGCTTCACTAATAAGCGTAGTATAAACTGCATGCCTATATTGCACCTGTCACATACCTAAAAACAGTATTAGCCATCATCTTGTTTAATGCGTGCAGTTTTAACTAAATGCTAATTAGGAAGGAGAAAGGTGATATAAGCTTTCATTTACTGTTACCCACATCAACTTCATAGGTCTAGTGCAAAATGAAAGAATGGGTTGGCTGATGAACTACATTTGGAGGAAGGAGAAAAATCTACGGATTTAGTTTTCTTCTGTGAATTTAGTTTCTTGCTTAACTGCCAGGAGAAATTAACTTTAGTTCAAACGTTGAGTTCTCATTAAGAGTGGTTTGATGTGAAATGATGCAGAGAAATTTATAGATAGATTTCTTTACAGTGCTGGTGATAGGAACCAGCGGTATATCTGAGGTAAATAGGTGTAAATAGTCGTTTTCTTTGGGGACTGTTTTGCCTTACAAAACACCCTGCATGTACCCTGCCATAATCATTTAAAAATATTAATAAATATAAATTAAGCCAAAACTTATAGAATCATAAAATGATGCTTCAGACATCAGGCAACATATGTGTAACCATTTCATGGGATAACATTCTGTGAGGGAGCTTTCAGAGGCATTAAACTCAGATGTCTGGTTCCTATCACCACCACTGTAAAAATAAATAAATAAATAAATAAAATCACTAAGTTTCTTTAGAACAGAGCATTTCACATTAAATCACTCTGACTGACTTTGTTTACATCTTTACTATTTGATTATGCAGAGAATTTGAAAAATTGGTTGAATTACCAGTTACAGAGGAGATTGGGCTACACTGTATGTCAGCAGATTCCTGTCAGCCAGTGCATTTCTGATTTAAATAAGCTTTGAAACTTGTCGAAGGCCTTTCTTTAGTCTCTGTTAACTGCACACTCCATAATGTGGAGAATGTCCATATCCATTAGCTTCAGCTTCACATGAGTGGATTTATTGGTGACTGAGCTGTGTCTTTAAAACTTTAATATTTGTTGTTCATGTCACAGATGGGTAATGTTCCTAATTTATTGAAGTCATATACACTGTCGGCTGCCACTGTTGCACCGTGAGACGATTGTACTGCTTTTACGTTCTGTGAACAGCTCCATCGGACCTGTAGGTCCTAATGCCAGTGCTGTGTTTGTACTGGGCTCTCAGAAATGATTCCCTTTACTCCTGCTTATGTAGTATAAAATTGCAAATTAGTGGAAAGGTTACGTGGTGATGTGTCTCTTGACTTGTGATGTACACTGCGCACTCCACCTAATGTACACTACACTGCTAGTGTGAAGTAATTCTGAGAAATCAGTGGGGCTGGCCCGAATTTTAATATTCGAGAATGTTGGCATTAATTTTCTTATATAGTATTCAGAAGCTTTTTCTTAAGACCCACCCCAAATACGCCCATAGATTCCTGACAGTTCAGATTTGAAGGCCTATTTGTCACTGTTTTAAACAAAACATTTATCATAAAAACAAGAAAAAATGGCAATTATGTAATGATGGACATGACGTTAGGCCTTAAACTGTCATGTCCTTGTTAGGAAATTTTATATAAATGCTGAACACAGGCGCACACCCCTCTATGAATTCACGATGCCATCCCTTTTCTTTGAAAGTTTGAACCAAGATAAGTTCATGAAAGAAATTTTAATGGCAAAAAACATTAAAGCAGTTAGAAATGTCCACATACACGTTAATTTGTTTGGAGTCCTCAGTCCCGAACGAGACGTTGATCAAAGTTAGTATTACAGATCACTAATCTATGATTTTAAGAGATATATGTCTTGAACTTACTTCTGTATCGCAGCTGCTGTCTAATTAAGCAAAAATCCAGTCAGACTTATCTCTCTTAGTGTGACATAACATCTGTCTCACAGCATCTTTGGGCCATCTGTTGTAAAAAGGACAGTATAAATGCCTAACTGTTACAAATCGAAAATGAAACACATATCTAAGATGAGGGTTAGTTATGTTTTTAAGGGTAATATTGAGGACATGTATGCGAGTAGTCATCCGGAAACTCTTAAGTATTGAAAGTCTGTTACAGGCTCTTCGGGCCAGCCCTAGAAATCAGTTCTCTTAAAGCCTATGTTGTACTTCATTCATTTTGTCTTGAGCCAGAGGTGGTAAAAGCAAGTCTCAGAACTTTCCACTGTGTAAGCAAAAGCACTGACAATATTCTGTTACATGTTTTTTGTATTTCATTTGTTTTTGACTATTTATTTGTTTCTTTGTTATTTTCCAGCAGTGTAGCGTTCGAGTAGAGTGACACTAATCGTGTTAAGCACAACTGATTGTAAAATGATAAGTTATTTTAATGTATTTATCATACACTTGTTACGTTGTATAAAGACATATTACAAGTTTGTTATAACCCAATGTCCGATTCCTTTTATCCACCAAAGGGTAAAGTCGCATTTAACCAAGTAACAACTAGAACATGAAATGAAATGCTCTTTCAACCAAGACTGGTCTCTGTATTGATAAAGCTAGTGTTGTTCAGTGGGAGTATATTCAGGTGAAGGCAGACTGTGAAGGGGTAACAGAATGATTCCACTCCCTGAGTTCGTCCAAAGGACTGTAAAATGTAAAATGTTTGATTCAATCACAATGCTTGTTTAACCAGAAGCTTTATGTAGATGTCCTACGCAGTTTATAACCACGTACAGAACAAACATGGTGGTCTTTTTGTTTCTTTTTTCTCTTTCTTTCTTTCTTTCTTTTTTTTTAAATAAATGCCATTTTTGAACAAACACTAGACTTTCCTAGTTCTGGACTCTTTCTTCTTTGATTCATGTGCAGCAACAGAGTTGTGTTCAGTTTGAAGGAAGCTCATAACTAAGAATTTCCCAATTCGGACTAGGAAAAACCAAATGCCACTCTACTGGGAATTCCTACTCGGAAAGTCGAGATGGCGTTCTCAACTCTGAGCTCAGTCAGTGACCTCGAATCAATCTGTCTGTTCACACCGTGGACAGTAATAAAGAACCACTTCTCTTTTAAATAAGATTTACGTTATATCCCTCAACATACAGATACAGTAGTTTGTTAAACTACAACACTGACCTTAAAGTTCATTGTTTTGAGAAGGTACATACATCTTGAATGTTAAAGTTATCCCTCATGTCATCTTTTGCGAACCATGACTTTTAGAGCTAAGCCTTCAGCTTGGGCCATAAATGTCAGTGTAAACATGAGGAACAACCCACCTCAAAGATTGTTTGTTAGCACTAAACTAATTGTGATTCGCATGAACACTTTCTGACAAGGCTGAAGCTTCTTCAAATTTTCCATGCCAACTTAAACAGTGCAACAGTTACATTGCAGTGCATTTTATAGTAACTCCTATTAACTGTCGGCCTGTGTAAGCAATTGTGTTTGAAAGAGCATTTGGCTCCCCCTACTGGGCAAATTATGATACAAGCTAGAAAGTGTGTGCACTAATACTCATTTGAAATGGCACATTGTATGACTGAGGTGTGCAGTGCAATGCACATTAGTTATACAAGTTATACAACTCATGCAACTGGCCTTGTGCAATCTTTTGAATGCTGTAGGCTATTTATACCTGTAATATGTGAAGAGTTAACATGAAGAGGCAATTTACTGGCAATAACTGGACAAATGGATACAGTTTTACTAGCAAATAAACAACAATACAAACTGGAAAGAACAGATATTGAAAAGAGTCATGTGTTGTGGTGTCATGGTGAGTACATAAACGCCTGTGTCCTCTAATAAAAACGACCTATTACACATATTCGTCAGTGTGTATGCTGTGTTTTTCTCCGGTAGTCTATTCATCTGTTTCAGTCAAGTGATAGTTTTCAATTCTGAATGTCAGTGAGAGGTCAATGGTGGGGAATTAGTGAATCTCAGCTGTAAGAAACAGATGTATATTTAAAAAAGCAAACAGTTGGTGTGATTAATATGTAGTTACCAGTAGTTGGTACTGAGAATCATTAACACGTTGGCCCACACTCAGAGGACCAAAACGCGTTTCACATCCAGACACAAACACTTGCTATATCAGTGATGCCCAACTTTTTTGACCCCGGGAAGCGTCTGTGGTGGGCTGAAGGCTAGAAAACTAAGCAGTGCTCAAAGAAATGTAAGTAGGTTTCATTTTCATTTTTAAATAAAAAAACAGATTTTAGAACATTTCATTGCTAAATAACTACACCAGAAACTAACAGAGGTAAAATAAGAATTTTTCTGTGTAGTATAAAAATATGTTTGTTCCCCCTATTAGTTGAGGGGTTGGGGTAAAGGTAATCTTTTGCAGGCCAACTCAAATGTCCTTATGCACCAACTTTAGCCTGCAGACCAGACTTTGGGCAGCCCAGTGCTGCTCCTCAAACTACACTCACCTACTTCTTTTTTTAACCACTGTGCATGGCATATGCAAAAGTTTGGAAACCCTTTAGTTATAACTTGTTACGCCTTAGGAGTGGGAGAAATTCTTTCTTTTAGTCACTATTCAAACCTTTTACTATCACTCAATGACCATGGGCTTCTCTATGCAGCTGTTGGAAGCTAACTGGGGGAGGCTTTAGCAAGATACCAGACTGTGAAATGTCATTAAAAAATAGCAGTTAAAGAGAACTGTGGAAGTCAAGACAAGACCTGGAAAATCAAGTAAACTCTCAGATGGAACTGCTTGTATGCTGGCCTGAAATGCAAAGTAAAACCCCCATATGACTGCAGGAAGGTTTAGCTGACACCGGAGTGGCGGTGCACCATTCTGCTGTGTGAAGTTGCATGCACATACATGATCTGCCTGTAAAAATCATCAGAAGAAAACCTTACTTGCGACCTCATCACAAAAGTCAACGTCAGCAGTATGAATGTTGGAAACAAGTGCTGTGGACTGCTGAAATAAAAATATAACTCTTTGGCCTCAATCAAAAAAAGGTATCTTTGGGGGGAAAAGCATTTGATGAAAAGAACACCTTGCCAGCTCTTAGGCATGGTGGTGGATCTGTTACACTTCATAGTTGTGTAGCAGCCAGTTGCATATGAAACACTGCATGGTAGTTGGAATTATAGATTCTAGTAAAGATCAGCAAATTCTGGAAGCACATGTGACACAGTCAGTTAAGAAGCTGAAGCTGAAAAGAGGCTGGCTCCAACACAGCTCAAAATCCACCATGGACTACTTCAAGAAACGCAAGCTGAAACTGTTGGAATGACCCTCACAGTCCCCTGATCTGAACATGATTGTGGATCTGCGGGTAGATCTTAAACATGCTGTGCAGGCAAGCTGGCCCATGAACATCATAGAACTAGGAGCATTCTACAGAAAGTTTGGGTAAAAAGTTCTAAAACAAGAATAGAAGGACTCCTAGCTGGAAGTATTTGCAAGCTGTGATGTAGTACAGTGTCCAAACTTTTGCACATGACACAATTAGTACTGAATTTAATCAAATACAAAGAACATAGACTAAATGGAACATCTAAACCTATCACAAACCTGATGACTATTTCAATGACTGAACCCCTCATGAACAGTCAGGTCCAGCCGGGTTCGAACAAATATTTCACACTATGCGCAGCATGAGGGAACCTTCAAGTGTGGCTGCAGGCTGTGACATGCCTCAGATTCATAGTTTGCTTAAAGCGTCATCTATAGGTAAAAGCTCATGAAAAAAGGAGCAGGCCTATGTTCTACATTTTCTAGCTTCAATTATGCAATAGCAATAATGATTAAGGAAAAGGGGAGAGAGAGAGAGAGAGAGAGAGAGACACAGAGAGAGAGAGAGAGAGAGAGAGAGAGAGAGAGAGAGAGAGAGAGAGGGTGTGTATGTGTGGTTTTCACAGCCTGGGGCTATCAGTACATCTGCCGTGCTCTTTGCCCTGACGCCTCCGAAATCATCCCCAGCAGGTGAGAGAGAGAGTGAAAAGGAATAGAAGAAGGAGAAGAAAAGTGCAGCATTCTCAGTGATGAGGAGGTTTTTCAGGGCAAGCAGGGATGAAGATTACAGCCAGATTCAGTACCTCACGGCGAAGTGTAACCGCCTGGCACACGAGAAAGGTAAAGAGCCTCTATCACTATGCTTGTAGTTAAAGGGGAATCCCGCAATGTTCCAAACTTTCCGTATAATTCAATTGCTGAAATGTAAAGAAGGTCACTCAGGTTGGTTTGATGTGAATTGTAGAGAAACTTACTGACTTGAATTTCTTTACAATGAAAGTAATAGGAACCAGAAGTCATAATGTCTAAAAAGCAAATATAGTATTTCATTCATTATCCAAAACCACCAGTAAACCTGCAATTGTCATCTTTTAAAAAAGAGTTTTAAAAGAGATGTTGATAATGATAAAACAGTGATAGTGGGACTATCTTGCCTTACAATGGCCTGCGTGAATATATATATATATATATATATATATGCAGGCCACATGCAGACCATTGAAAGTCACGTATGTATGCATCTCTCAATATATATCGCTGCTGTCAGACTCCAAAATGCTAACTTTACCAGAGAACTGTTAATGTAGGTCAATGGAAGTAATTTTGGGCCTTTTCGTTTGGTCCACTCATCATGAAATTTACACATTTACACATTTACAACTTTATGTGAGGGAGGTTTAAGATTCATACAGTTCTTCACATGTCTGATTCCTATCACCACCACTGTGAACAATTCTGACTCTAGTTTCTCTAGAAGGGAGCATTTCACACCAAACCACTCTGAATGACATTGTTTACATTTTAACCATTTAAATATGCAGGAATTTTTTAAAAAATTGGCTGAATTCCTGTTAAACTGTAGTTATAACCACAAGATTCTACTTTCACTATGATCAAAACAGCAGCTAGGCATTATTAAGCATTACAGACTGGATGCCAGCAAAGCCTGCAGGTAAATCATTAGTCACCATATGCTAAATGATGAGTTTATTACATTAGAGTTTGAATGTAAAGAGTCACATTTTACATTTTATTTCCTTTCCTTTCCTTTATTTGACACAATGGGAGTGAGAAAAAAGGTTAACTTTTACTCACAGTCCTCCTGAAGTCATTGCTGGAAACTACAAAGTGGGAACAAAGTTCAGCAATATGACAATTATAGCTCACAGGGCCATAAAAACTTCAGGACAGTGTTTCTGTTCTTCCTCATGTGTAGCAACAGAGCTAAGCAGAGGAAAATCACTGTTCCTAGATTATGGAACCTTTGCGGCCTTTCACTTTAAATAAAATGCATTTATCGGTATTCTAGCAGTTGTGGCTCTGGGATTTAACATGTAAGGCCTGTAAAATGCATAGTAAGTTACTGGCAGCTTAGTTGCCAATAAAGTAATGTCAATATCAAATGTGGAACTGTGTAAGACATGCTACTGCAAATTCACTGTAGTTGCTAAACTTTAGTAAACTAAACACAGAGCCATATGCAAAAGTTTGAACACTATCAGTCAGTTGACACATTCTGTTGATTTTCTACTTAAATATGACATATTTCTGCACAATGTCTATTTATTTGTTTAACATGTTGGGAAAAAATAAAGCATAAAATATCAAATGTGCACAAACTTTTGCAGAGGCCACATTTTAGGTTTTATTTTTCTCCAAACATGTTAAATTCAGCAAATAAACAGTAATTGTGCATTATAATGTGCTAAAGTGTGTTCTCTATAGAGGATGTGTTCACTTGTTGTCACTTAGAAAATCAACAAGAGCATAGAAACACCCAAACTTTTGCACATGACTGTGTACTCAGAATTTTACTATAGTAATTGCTGTGAAGGTCAGTTCAGTTGCCTGTACTTTACTACTGCACTTGCATCAGAGAGCCCTGGCAGTGCTGACCACGACTGTTAAACTATACCAATAACTATAGCACTACTCACAACAACCACCCACTGATTCACTGGCTTCACCTCTCAAACCATAAAGCCATAATAATGCACTTTGTGCTTATGATATCACTTATTTTGTAATGCATTTAAACTTTCCCATGTACATTAAATCTTCTTTTCATGAAATCATGCATATTCTGAGTTAAACATTTTAAATAGAATTTAAAGGCATGTCCTTCATTTTTCCCATTTTACTTTACCTTTGTTCTCTATTTTTGAAATAGATCATTTTTACAGGAACTTATAAGCTTGACATAGTAACAATAGCAGAACCCTTTTTGTTGCTATACAGAACCATTTTCAAAAAAGATTCTATACAGAACCATAAACAACACATTCTTTATCAATGTGAAGAACACTTTTACCATGCTAAGAACCATTTAAGCATGAAATGGTTCTATATAGAACTCATGGAACCATTAGAATCATTAGAACCATTGCCTTGAACAACAACAAATAAGTAGTAATAAATCAATATTTGTGGTTTTTATGCCAGTTATCTCTTTAGCAGGTGGGAAATGATCTAGAACTAGAACCATAAATTTAGTTGCTTCCTGTTTGGGTCAGTCCTTGTTTTTGAATGTAAAACATTGTTACAACCCCATGTTTTTTCTAGGGGGCTGTGGGATCAATAATGTGGCATTATAAGACTGAACTGGTGATGACGGGTTAAAAGCTTGAGGAACAGACCAATAGAGCTTTTGAAGCCTTTGTACTAAACCCAGTCACAATAAAATGGTGTGCTGTGATACCTAGAACCACACTAGAAGAATCAAACTGTGGATGGCACCAAGGACAAGAACAAAACCTAACAATGCTTGCCTACTCTCAAACAAAAAGTACTTAGCTAACCTATAAAAGGAAACAACAGCTAACTACTCTACACTTTCCTGGCCAGTAATCAAAAGTACATGTGGCGATGCCTGCCCTCTGACCTAGGGAACTAAACTGAGTAGACTTCTTTATTTACCCCGCAATGAAATGTGTGACTGGTATATGTTCACGATGGTGTAACAAAAATAAGTCACAAAGTTACTGACCTGAGAATATAAAATGCTTTCTATTTTTCCAAAATACTTATTAAACAAGTTTCAGGATTAGTACAAAATCCTGTTGTACCTGTGCAGCGCTACCTGCATTATTCACCCTGAAGTAAGTTCTTTGCTGTTGTGATGCCACACTGATTGTCTTATATGAACCAAGTCACAATAGAAATAACATCATTTGATCCTTAAGAAAACAGTATACTATTATAAATTTACAGTAAATTACAGTATTTGTTTACAGTGTGCTTACTGGCCTGCTCCTCATGAAAAAAATAATTTTCTTCAAAAACTGTTATTAACAAAGTACAGGAGTTTAATAGGGTTTTGAAATGAAAGCTGTCGCTTGCTTAAAGGCAGAAAAGCCTTGCATAAAAGTCATGAAGTTATGCAGACAGCAAAGGTAGTTCAAGGACTTGACTCCAGAAGGTATTTGCCCTTCAGCCTTTCAAATTACTGTAAGTAAAACTAAGAGTGGTTTGCCTGGTTAAAGTAACAGATCTTTATTATATAAACACATTTGTGTCCGGGATGACTGTATTCTGCATTTGTTAGCAGCTGTCAGAGTGTTAAGTATTTGCAGTTATGCTGACGTTTGTGAACTCTACTGTGAAAGTGTCTTTAGGTTGGTGAGTTCATGAAATCTACACTCAACTCTCCTTTCCTCTGCTCAGTTGTCAAGTTGTCTGTTTGTATGTGCAGCAGCGTTGGAGAGAGAGTACGTGGCCTCTAGAGAGAGAGAGAGGGCTCTGCAGGTTGAGCTGGAGTCTCTGTCTGTACAGCTCCGTCAGAAAGAACACGCCTGCCAGGACCTGCGCATCAGACATGACCAGCTGCTCGACACGCTCAAACAGCAACGGGTATCTCCAGCATATTCTAGTGCTTTAGCATGTCTAGAAACACCAACCAGCCATTTCATTAAGTACCCCTCCTTGTATTTACAATCTTTGTCCATTTTATTAGCTCAACCTACCATATGAGTGCACCTTACAGCTCTGCAATTACAGACTGCAGTCCATCTGTTTCTCTGCGTACTTTGTTAGCCCCCTTTCACCCTGTTCTTCATTGGTCAGAACCCCCATGGACCCTCACAGAGCAGTTACTATTTGGGTGGTGGATCATTCTCTGCACTGCAGTAGCACTGATGTGGTGGTGGCGAGCTTGTTGGCCCACCTATTAGATGTAAAGTCAGAGACAATAGCTCATCTATTGCTGCATAGTTTGTTAGCCATCTTCTAGTCCTTCATCAGTGGTCACAGGACGCTGCCCATAGGGCACTGTTGGCTGGATATAGTGGTCATATGTCCACATACTTTTGGTCACATAAGACAATCTGAGTTTGTATGTTACCTTAAGGTCCTACTTTAATGTCACTAATAGGCCTGTACATAAACACGCAACAACAATGTAACTATTGGTTACGTATTCACTGTTACAGATGGATTACAGCCATACAGCTTATGTAAATACACATGCATCTTAACTTCATCTTCACTGTAACTGTGTAATTACACATGTGTAATAGGGTGTTCCGCTGTTCTTTTCAACTAGAATTTTATAATTGTAACTGGAGGTGTGTAATTACTTACATAATGAGACTACTTTCACTGTATCTGCACAGGAAATGCCAACTTTATATATACATACATATATATGCTGTTGTTAAATACTCTGGCACTCACTATGTAAGTATTTTCACTTCTCCTGCTAAAGTCAGAAAGGTCTTGCTGGAAAAACTGCAGTTCATACAAATGTAATTACCCTCAGCCTAGTATGCATGTGTACACAAGAGAAAATACTCTATTGCAACTATCAAGATACACTTTTGTAATCACATGAGTAAAAACTGAAGTGGACATGTGTATTTGCATAAGCTGTACTACTATAATCCTTTTGTAACTGTGACTACATCACTGTAGTAATTACCTTGCTGTTGCATGTATCATTATTGTGTAACCACACAGACACAATGCAAAATGTTTCTACTTTGCTTTTTGCATTGACTGAATTTAACTTTATTACATGGACGGACTCTGAGAAACTCTGAGTTGTCCGGTAGGTCCAGATGTTTTTTAAAAAATGTGTTTCTGCTGTGTTCAAACTTGTTCTGCTCAAAAAGCTTAGATGCCAATGGCCAGAAGCAGCATTCAGGGCTGGTTGAACTGCAACATAAAAAGCTGAAAAAAGGTTATTACTGCCATTTTGCCTTAGATTTGATTAATTACTTAATTTTTAAAATGCAGTTACGTCCAGGGGTTAATGAGTTGTGTGTTTTATGGTAATATGTAACTAAAGTTAACTCATATGAGTGTTTTTTGACACATATAGAGTCATATGTAAAAGTTTTGATGCTCTATGGAGAACAAATTTCTACACTTTTTAATGCACAGTTATCTGCTGAATTCAACATATTGGGGAGAAAATAAAAAAGTATGCATTATGCAAAAGTATGCAAAATATATAAGTTTTTAATATGTTAAACTCAGCAAACAAATGTTGTATGTTTATTTTCAGCAAAACATGTCACTTGACTGGGAGTGATACAAAATGTGCATATGATGGTATATGTTGTGTATCTACATATTTGTGTGTGTGTGTACTGCAGGAGCTGGTCCAGTTTTTGGAGCAGCGAGTGGTCTCGGTGGCAGAGGAGAGCATGAGGGAGGCAGCTCTGTTGACTTTTCAGCTGGAGCAGGTTAGCTCTGACCTGCAGCAGCTCCAAAACTCAGAGGCTCAGCTGCAGGGCCTGGTGGATGAGCTGCACCAGGAGGCCCAGGACAGAGCCAAGAAATCAGAGGGCCTGGACAATGAGCTTCACAAGGAGGCCCAACTTAGTGGAAAGGAAATTGAAGATCTGAAAAGGCAGCTGGACAGGTAGGAAAGTATTAACTGGCCTGTAATTTTAATGTGGAAAAAAGATATCTGGTTAATAAATTAGAATATGTGCTGCTTTAGCCTGAATATTGCATAATATAAATTAATCTTGTGTACAGGGATAAAATTGCAATACAGATTGGCCAAAATCAAAATAATAAATTGCCAATGAATAATTTGGAGCAACAGTTGTCCGATATATCCATATATATATATATATATATATATATATATATATATATATATATATATATATATATATATATATATATATCCAGTTTTGGCTGATTCCACTCGTGCACTCAGTGGTGCTTTGACCTGCTTGTAGGCCCTGGGGCTAAAGGTGGTCCGTGGCCCTTTGGGTGTGGTTAGAATCAATGAAATCAGTAAAGCTCAACTTGACTTTCCTAACTTTCCCTCCTGATTGATGTGGACAAATTACACTATATTTATTAAGCATGGAAAAAGGTAGTCACATGGTTAACTATCAGCAGAAACAATGCCCAATGTCACCCCACACTGAAGGACACAGTGTGTCCAAAACCTCAAAACCTTTGTTTATAATTAAGGTGCGCAAAACTCCGCCGCCGTTCAGCGACTTCCAGCACTTCTGTTTATCATATCTCCTTTACTGCAAACTTAAACTCAAATTTACATTGTGAAGACAGTTGATTTAAAGTGCTAATTGTCTTTTTCACCTTGGCCAACATTACTAGTCTAGTCACAATTACCTGCTGCGATGCTTCCACACCAGTGTAAAGTAGAGTTTACTAAGTTAAACCACTAACACCACCAAAACAGCTGAGGTCTACGACAAGCTAAAGCCTTATTTGGTCACCTTAAAACACAAGGATCAAATGATCCTGTTTTCCTGATTAAAACTGAGAACTTTTCCAATGGAGCAATAACAAAACATAGCATACCATTATTTTTTTTCTCCTTTTCTTGCCTAAAACATCTTTAATAATGTCTCATTTCTTAAAATGTCACTCTCAGTCCACATCATTGCCAAAAAAAGACAGCGGTCAGTCTAATGTTAACATGGGAGTTAACCAGTGGGCTCAGAATGCCACAGACAGCAACTTAAAAAAAAATATATTTTAGGAAGTTTTAAAATAAAAGTCTGCTCTTGTAAAGTACTCCTTTTTATTTTTGAGCTTTTTGTTGAAGCTCTGCTCTCATCCATTTTACTGTAAGTACCTGGTTCTAACTTTCAAGTGAAATGCATCCGAACCAGCCTATCAACAGAATGACATGCATTTAAATGTAATTATTGGTATATGTGTGTGGATGGGTGGAGGGAAAATAAAGAAATCTTGTTAAAAAGCGAACAAATAAACAAACAAACAAAATGGATCATTGCCCCTGCATATACTCCTACTAGATAAAAATGCAAGCTAAAAAGGCCAATTTCTCGCTAGCAATAAACAAATGATATATTGCAAAGCCCTACTGGATGGTAATTTCACAATGAAAATACTAATGTTGCCCTTTCTGATGGGTCAGCAAGTCCCATGAAGTGGAGGAGCTGCAGAGGGCCAACGAGGCCTTGCAGCAGGAGCTGAGTGAGCAGCAAAGCGCCCACCAGAAGACGGTGGCGGAGCTGCAGCAGGAGAACACAGTGAGTGTGCAGAAACTCAGAGAGACAGCTGAGCAGTTCGAGTGGCTCTGTGAACAGCAGCGGAACTGGATGTGCTGCGTCAAGAGGTAAAAACAAAAGCTTTCTGTGTTTGTATGGCTTTTAGGAATTGTCAGTAGTAAATAAAGTAAACAATTACTTTTTGGGCATAAAAAATTGCAGGATGTTTCTACAGTTTTCAACCAGAAAATGTTCAAAATCACCTACAAATAATGAAAAAAATGTCCCAAACACCGAAGTACAAGGTACAAGTATCAAAAGCAGTTGAAGGTCAGTGTTTCAACCACAATACTAAATAGTACTGCTTTTATACCAACTTTTGGGTTTTAATTTCACTGGTATCAAGAAGTGATGTAAGTTTTTAGGCCTCATCCACACATACTACCATGGCAAGTGGTATTTTTTCTTTTCTTTTTAAAGCATTTATTTTTAAGGAAAATCAGACTTTGAATCTGTCTGAAATATTGAATTATTGGGGGCTGATGGCCTGCAGGTGAAAATCTACTGTGTTTGTAACATGCTGGCATCACGTTTTTAGAGGACCTCTGCATTAGCTTCATGGCACGCTCAGTATTTTGTGCAGTGCACTCCTCTTGATCTCTAAAATATCAAATGTTGTGGGGTTTTATCTCCCACTGCTGGGCTAGTGTGCTAGGTGAGTGTTTTCAAGTTTTGTTTCAAACGGGAAAAAAACAACAGGCAACATTTTAATGAATTGCTTCATATATGTATTTTTCCTGGGACAAACTCATGAATGTTTTCAAGGTAGCAATTTTTTAAAATGCATTCTATTGTATATGATAGGATCCATGATCTCATGCAATTAGAAAGGCAGATAAGTGACAGTAATTTTGCAAGCAGCAAAAGAAGCTGTTTCTCATACATATTTCTAAAACTTGCTTATCTTTATAGGTTCCTATGAACAGATCATAAGCTATGTCAAATTCAAAAAAAGAAATCTAAAGAAAAGCAGTTTGTTTCACTTGACCACACAAACAATAATGAAAAATCTAAAAAAGATGCAAATGCAAATTCTTTATGTAACTAACTGTATAATTAGTTATGTAATCATGCAGTTGTTTTAATTGTGTACCAAACTGACAACAATAACGCTAAATGTTATGAACGCTGAATGTTAATCTCACTTGTATGCATGTATATGTAGGTTTAAGGATTGTTTGTGTGATGAGAAGGAGGCCCTGGTTCTGCAGGTGAAAAGGTTACAGGAAGAACTAGCAGAGCTCAAGAAGAACTCCAACTCTGAGGTGATCAATGTAGAAGACAGCACACCCCAACACTGTGACAGGTCAGATATAGAACCTAAACTGAACTGCAGCATTATGTTCTAGTGCATATTGCCTATAGAATGGTTTAGACTTTAGTTCCAACCTCTTCTTCCTTTGTCTTCATCCAAGGTGGGATGTGGATGCGATGGTGGATCTGCAGGTGCAGGCAGACAGATGGAAAGTTAGGTACACAGAACTCTTCAGCAAACTTGCTCCACATCCGGTACGTACACAGACAAGTTATATATATATATATATATATATATATATATATATATATATATATATATATATAATTATATGTCTGTCAAGACAAAACTTTGTTTTAAATTTTTGTGTTGTTTTGAACCCCCTTCCCCCATTCTATCAGTGGTCAGAACACCCACAGGACCACCACTGAGCAGGTATTATTTGGGTGGTGAATTATTCTTATCAGCACCCACTAATATACCACTGCTGTGTCAGTGTCACTGCAGTGCTGACAGTGATTTACCTCTGAAATAATACTTGCTTTATGGTGGTCCTGAGGGGCATCTATATGGTAAATAGATTTGATATATTAGGCGATGCATAGATACAAGAAAAGTATCTAATAAAGTGGCTAAAGAGTGAATATGCATATGTTTTATTTGGGTTCTCAGGGGCAGTGGAGTGAAGATGGATATTTAAAACCACCATGAAGTCCGGACACAGAAGCTCTGCACTATTTCCATAGCTCTCTCTTTTCTCTGGCTCATGCTTTGTTCTGTGTTGAAGAACATCCAGACTAGTATAGCACCCACAGCTGCCTCTGCGTGGTGGAAACCTCCAAGCTACTGATGCTAACCCTCAAACTACTGACAGCAAAACCTAAACTACTAATGCTAAACCCCAAACTACTGATAGCAAACCCTAGACTACTAACATTAAACCCCATACTATTGAAGGCAAACTACCCAAAATGCTAATGCCAAACCCTAAAATACTGATAGCAAATCCCAAACTACTGACGGCAAGCCCTGAACTGCTGCCATCAAACCCTAATCTACTGATGCCGAACCTTAAACTACTCACAGCAGAAACCAGACTGACACCAAACTCTAAACTACTGATGGCAAACCCTAAATTACTGATGTCATACCACAAACTCCTAACATCAAACCCCAAACTACTGAAGGCAAACTACCCAAAATGTTAATGCCAAACCCTAAACTACTCATAGTAAACCCTAAACTACTGATGGCAAACCCTAAACTACTGCCAGTAAACCCTAAACTTCTGATGGCAAAGCCTTAATTACTGATGTCAAGCCCCAAACTACTCACACCAAACCCCAAATTACTGATGCCAAGCATGCACTGAACTACTGATGCCAAGGACTGAAGTACTGATGTCAAACTCTAGCCTACTGATGCCAAACCCTAAACTACTGACAGCAAACCCCAAACTACTGATGCGAAGCCCTGAACTACTGACATCAAACCCTAAACTACTGATGCCAAACCCTAAACTACTGACAGCAGAAAACAAACTGACACCAAACCCTAAACCACTGACACCAAACCCTAATTTACTGATGTCAAACCCTAAACTACTGATACCAAACCCCAAACTATTGACACCAAACCACAAACTACTCACACCAAACCCTAAACTTCTGATGCCAAGCACTGAACTACTGATGTCACACCCTAGCCTACTGATGCCAAACCCTAAACTACTGACAGCAAATTTCAAACTACTTACTCCAAACCTCAAACTACTGATGCAAAGCCCTGAACTACTGACATCAAACCCTAACCTACTGATGGCAAACCCTAAACTACTAACAGCGGAAACCAAAGTGACAGCAAACCCTAAACTACTAATGGCAAACCCTAAACTACTGACACCAAACCCTAAATTACTAATGCCAAACCTTAAACTACTGATACTAAACTGCTGGCAACAAACCCGAAACTGCTGATGCCATCCTTTTAAACTACTTATATCAAACCCCAAACAACTTACTCCAAACTCTAAACTACTGACACCAAACACCAAACTACTGGACTAAACCTAAGTAAACTCACTTCAAATGACTCAGAACTATTGCTCCTCCTGATCTGACTCACAAGAACTCCAGCAGAAGAGCTACTCACACACCAAAGTTAAAAACATTTTTTTCCTATTGTTCACACTGTCAGTTTTTGCTTGATATCAGTTTCAAATGTACAATAAAGAGACTAACGCACATTTCTGCACTTTCTTTTATTTCAATAAAATCTTATTATAAAGTAAAAAAGTAATTTAATGTTTAATCACTTTGGGAATTTTGAGAGGTTGATTACATACAAATGTTTTATATGAACTGCTGTGTTTCTGTAGCTTAATGATGCTTTTTGAAACTTTTATTCACATATGGTTTCCTTAATTTTATTAACCAACCACACCCAGTACGAAGTCTCAGTACTGTGAATTATATTCTGGTTTGCAACCAAACCTACAACCTACTCCGCTGGCCAAGTGATTATATTTTGTCATCCCTTTAATTCTTCTGATGTTAAGACATTTTCCCAATTAATGCACAAATGAATGCAGTTCATTCTGCAAAATATTAAGATGTTATTTTCATTGTGATATGTTTAGATTAGAGTATGTTTTGTTCCTTTTATATTGATATAAACTGAATACAAGATTTTTAGAACAACTTTAGATTTTTTGAATTATAGAGTAGCCCAGTTATAGGTATCCAAGACATATAGAGTGGAACTATCAGGGGCTACAAAGCCTTCAAAGAAGGCCTAACGATTTCTGTGTATTACAAATACGTGATTGTTATATTTTGTTTACATTTATTCAATTGAATCCTCATCCTCTGCAAATATTGTACGTTTTAATTTCTTGACAAATCCAATAGATACAGCCAAGCTTGTTTTATTATTGATTAGGCCTTCCGGAGTGGAACAGAAGGCACAGTGCATTAGAATAACCATCAATGCTATGATTTGATTTACAGTGTGTGGGGTATCTTTCTTGAGAAAAATGTCACTCTAGGACTTTTGGAAGTCCAGGAAATATCACTGACTGTGAATATGAGTCAAAGTCTAACCAGTTTCAGTCAGTTGTTAGAAATGAAAAACAAGGGTCACTTTAAAACTGCTACACAAGATAAACTATGTGCCAATATGTCAGTTAAAAGCTTTCAATAAACTTTGTAAAGCTTCAAATATCTGTGCTCAATCTAGAGTGGCCAAAAATGTTCATGTGCATTGCTGTTAGCTTAGGTTTACCATACTACTAGAATTCCACAGGAGTGCTAGAAGACACTCTAGTAGAGGTCTTTCCTTATTTCTTGACTGAGTTTTGACATTTATGATAAATTATTAAATTGTAATTTTTGCAGTGTGTGTGTGTGTATATTCCCCCAGTATATTCCCCCACTCAGACACCACTACACCATTGCCCACAACTTATAAACCTTTTCTTTTAGTGATTTTATTTATTTATTTATTTATTTTTGTTTAATTGGACTTTTGCTTTACAACTATCAGTAGAAATTAAATCCATTAAATTTAACAAGATGGCCTTGTGACTTTGATGATTAGCTAGCCAATGATAGCAAACGTCAGCTAACACTAACAATGTGTATGTTTAGACCGCCATTTTCAAAGCACCGGTCAGAAGCAGTAACATTACAAAATAGCTTAAAAAGGAACATTATATGCATGATAAAAACATCTCAATAGATCATCAAATGAAAAAAAATAAAGGTTATCTTATATTAAGTTACCTAGCTAATGCTAACACTAACCCTAACTCAAGCTGAAACAGCAAAATGAGAGTGGCAACTCCAGACATATTATGTAGGTTTGCTGCTTTGCAAGCTTCTAAAAACTCCTTAGAGCAACACTGCACAAAGACCAAAATGGCTTGCAGCATTTTTACAACTCTTGAAATCTTAAAGAGAAGAAGCTGAGCAATTGCCCTCAGAATTACTTGATCTGAATTATTATGATTAAAAAAAAAACAGAAAAAAATGGATTTTTGTCTTTGTAGGTGAGCTAACATTTTAACATTTTAATTTTGTTTAAATGATTTTTTGAAAGGAAGAAAGTTGCAGTGCAGTCTGTATTAACTCTGGCATCTTTGTGGAAAGGTGTGAAAACAGGGTTGTAACATCTCTTCATTCATTCCTCATTGCTGACTATCATCTCAACACAGATCTCACACAACATTTCACACACAGAGATCCAAAAGTGTCCTAGATAATCTTGTTATTTTGTCCCCAAATAAAGGAAAAAATATTTTGTCTGATCATATTTATTAAATGTGCCCATGGAATGGCCACTAGAGGGCCTGAACTGATGTTAATGGAGTGTGTTTTTGCACTGGGCCACGTGAAATATCGTCTAGCTTGGAGTCTCTGAGGAGCATCTGTGGAAGAGTGAGTCCACACGCTCTTCTAAACAGGCCTCCGTTGTGTCATTTGGTTTTGTATATGAATGGAAAGGTCGTAAAAGTATATTTAGCAGCATATGTATCACCTGCTAGTAGATTTGTAGCGTGAGTGGTGATGTGTTAATCGGCACAATGTTGCTTGTGAAGCCAAATTTGCCTCCAGGACGTTATTTTATGCAGCACCAGGAAGGGATCTTGCTGGGTGTGTTGAAGTATGTACTACTAAGAGCACACAACATGGCATGGTTACAGAGGGTTGGCAGTAGGTCTGGGGTAGAAACAGACCTATTCATGTTGAATATTAGTCACAGCCAGTAAAAACTCATGGTTGGAGTTTACCACCTGGAAACACATTCATTAAAATAGCATAGATGGTCAGGGCCAGACGAAGCAGTATAAGTGTGAGTATAGTGTGGGAATGTGTAGTGCAGTGAATGTAGGATGGTTTATACATACAGCAAAAGTCCAAAGTTTGTAGACACCTGCTTATCCAGCCATTCTTCAGAAATCAAGGTTATTACAATTTTACTTGATGGCTTAGATTTACTTATTGTAAATTATTAATCTTATTGTTAGTGCTCTACATCCCAAAAGAGAAAAAAGCATTTCTCACAGCACTGTATCACCTGTGCAAAAGAACCTTAAACATTCAAAACATTAGCCACACAACCAGTGCTGGCTCTACCTAATAAGCAACACAAGCAGCTGCTTAGGACCTCGCAGCCACCAGGGGGCATCCTAACAACTTCTGGGTTATTACTGTACCATTATGTTGTGTAAGATGCTTGAGTACGGGGGAAATTATTAACCATGTCTCAAAACTGTGCATCTGGAGACAAAAAATGTAAAAGAAATAGAGAAGATAAGGAGGACAACCTTAAAGATAAAGGTACTTTTTGTGTGTTTTTTTACTGTCCCTTTTTTTCTCTAGTCTTTGCTAATTCCCACCTCCCTGCGATGGACTGGTGACCTGTCCAGGGTGTATCCTGCCTTCCGCCCAATGACTGCTGGGATAGGCTCCAGCACCCCCATGACCCAGAACGATAAGTGGTTTAGAAAATGTGTGTGTGTGTGTGTAATTCCCACCTGCTATCACATAATGCTACCATGTTGGGAGGGCAAAGGTGGGCACATAGCACACGGTTAGAAGCCAGCCACTGCTAAAGCTACTGCACTCAGGTTTCTCACGCTACTGCTGCTACTGTAGACAATTTAGGCACACTTCAAGTGAGCTTAACAGGCAAGGGAAAAGATTTGCTGTTATCTTTCCTCCAACCCAACACTCATCAGCGCTGGCTCTACCTAAAAAGCAACATAAGCAGCTGCTTAGG